AATTGTTTGGTAGCAATGGGGGGAGATGGGATCTCTGCTCTAGGACTGCAGTGGGTCCTGTGGCAGCAATTTGCACATGGAAACGAGGAGCAGCTTTACACAAAAGGTGCTCTCCATTCACCACAGGTTAATATCTTAGAACGAGATCTGGAAATCACATCCAAAGCCAGGTCTACAAACCTTGTCTTCCATGTACACCACAACTACAGCACCAGGACACTGGGGGCTGTGAGCAGAGCTCATTGGAGCAGCTGCCAGCAAAGAGGCCTTTGGGTCAAGCCATGAACTGAAGTTAAACCCATTCCCAATTTAATCCTCTCTTCGTTCTAACATACTGATGTTTATTTAATTTGGCAACACTTGAAGACTGAACTCATCTGTCTCTTATAGAATATCTCTTACAAGGACAGGAGGGGAGAGCTGGACCTCTTCAGCCTTGAGAAGACCTAACTGAGGGGATCTTATAAATCTCCATCAGGGGCTGCAGGGAGGGGGCAGAGGATGGACCAGGCTCTGCTCGGGGGGGCCCAGCAATGGCACAGGAGGAACGGGCAGGAACTGATGCCCAGGAAGCTCCACCTGGACAGGAGGAAGAACTTCTTTGCTGGGCAGTGACCCAGCCCTGAACAGAAACCAGAGAGGGTGTGGAGTCTCCTCACTGGGGATATTCCAGAACACTCTGGTCACAATCCTGTGCCATGTGCTCTGATTCTGGGATTCAAATATGTGTCTTCTGGTCCGGCCATTACCTGAAACATCTCTCTGGTCATCCCCCATAACCTCTATGGCATTGCAGGTCGTGTTGGGGATGTTGATTCATACCACACCCCAGGTAGCAGGTAGTGAACAAGTCAGGAACTCCTCTGGAGAATTCAGAGAGAAGATGTGATGAGGAGAGGCGATAAAAAATGCTTCTTTCTTAATCAGATCTGAGGTCATCCTTTGAAGCTTTACTGTTTCTAACATGCACCTGTAACCTTCCCAGCAGGGATCACCAGGGCTAAGACAAAGGCCTTTCTCTCACATAAAATCCCCCCAGCCTGGCTTCTACTCAAAGATTCATTTTAAGGAACATTTGAAGTAAAACTTAAAAAATATTTCTATCTTTAGAGTCATAGAATCATTAGGGTTAGAAAAGCCCTCTAAGATCATCGAGTCTAACCATTAACCCAATGAGTTTCCCTTTTTGGATGCTGTGACCTGTATTTCCCACATTCAATCTCAAACCAACTTCATGTGTTGTGTATAACAGACACAGAAGTGGGTGTAGAGGTGCTGGCTGCCCAGATTTAACATCAGGGATGAACAGCAGCCTCACATTGTAAAGATGTCATTTTTTATCTTGCTTACTGGATGATTCCTATTCAGCATCGCTGAGGGCAACAGAAACGATGGCAAGAGCCTGTTTGTTACACACTTGTTCTACATGTTTGAATAAAAAGAGACCTGCCACGTTTCAAAAGCCATGGGGCTGAATGCTTTGAAATCAGCTCTGAGCCACACATCCCAGGGATATGACAGAAAGGAGAACCTAGAAAGTACCACGAGCTTTTGTTCGACATCCCCATCTACGGCGGAAAGACGAACCGGGGCAGAGAAAACTGGCACAACAAAAGTGTGGCCCCTTTCAAGCCCAGTTTGTGTGGGTGCTTTATAAAGTAGGATAACATCAGCAATTCAAGTATTCTGAAATGTCAGAACAGGGAAGTGAAGCCTGTATTTCCCTCTCAGCAATATTCTCTGTTCAAGAGCAGTTGGCAGATAAAGATTCAAACATCTGTGCAAGGGTGTAGTCCTGCAGTGCTTACAATCATCACTAAATCCAGCTCATCCAGGTACCTCTGTGGCACAGGTGCACCAGTCAGGGATATTGGCATCAGATTAACCTAAAGCTGCAAATGATTCACTCATTGCATTAGAAGGATGTGGATTTTTCAGGCTGGTAACATCTTGCACTGTAAACTTTGCTGCACCTTGGTAAGGTTTGATCCTCTGTGCCATGTCAAGAAGTGATGCAATAATGACATGCCAAAAATAAAAACTTTCATTGGGATCAAACTCTCATCCAAGGCCATTTTGGATGGAGCTCTGAGCAACCTGGACTAGTGGAAGGTATGGTTGGAATGAGATGATCTTTAAGGTTCCTTACAACCCAAACCATTCTAGAACTCTAAGAGAATTTGCTTTCTGAGAGAAAACAACTGATGCATTGTGGTTTTTTAAATAAAGTGTCATGATCCTACTATACAGAAGAGGAGATGTT